TTTATCTGGACACTTGCCAAACTCGTTATGAAATCAATGACGCACGTTACTGCACAACGAAGCTCTTACTGTATTTACATCATCGTGTTTGCATTGGTGAAAGCAGAGAGAGTGCAGAAACTGCTTTGCAATGATAAGATCTTCATTCTCGCGATCAACACACTGTCATCTGCTCAATGCTCATCACGGCAACATTTTATGTGATGGGAATAGATCTAAATACTTTAAAAACATCTCACGATTCGTTAATCTCGATAGCTGTTATAGTAAAAACGTATAATAGCAGTAGTAAAAGTATTCGGGAGAGAGTTTCACATGTAATGCGTTGCTATTTCATATGCAAGCATGTCAGCCAATCACAGCAGTGGCCGCGGTTACACTGAATCCCACAGCAGACACGCCCCTTCAAACAGAGTGTTCAAATCAGAGGCTAAAAGCAGGGTAGGAAAAATGCCATTTATTTCTAAATTATGATTATTTTTTATCTAAAAAAACATACTAACATTATAAGGAAAACCCAGGAAACATTATAAAAAAAAAACATTCTAGGGCACCTTTAAATATGGATATTTTTCTTACCCAAACGCATCGCTTCACTTGAGAAGGCCTTTATTAACCCACGGAGAGCCATTTCGAGCACTTTAATCATGAATAGATGTGCTTTAATGGACTTCTTAAGTCATCCAGCCATTATCAACCTTGGAAGAGCCAGAACATTTTTTAATATAACTCCAATTGTATTCGTCTGAAAGAAGAATGTCATATACACCTAGGATGACTTCAGGGCTAATTTTCATTTTTGGGTGAACTATCTCTTTAAGATGCGTTTTGGTCGATCGGATCAAAAGTAGACGACGCTAAAGACAGGTGTAAATGGGGTCTAAAATATTTTGAGCTTGTCCACTTTCGACCACTTGGGTAGGCGAAAACGTATTTGACCAGATTGTAGACTCATAGTGTGGACGCTCATGTGGTCAAATGCGTTCGAACAGCCACAAAAGACCACCTACTCTCCACCTACTGAGTTAATGCGTAAACATTATGGGAAGTGTGCTAGCCAGATGGGACTTAAACTTTGTTGGCTGGAGACCCAAGTTTGGTTTGAAGACGAAAAACGTACCAAGCACATTGTTCTCTCACCATTCCTAATTTCTAACACACACTCACAGCATTCGGCATCGTCTTGTGGCTATCAGAGCAGAAACGAAAGCTGCTGCTCTCCGTATGTTTTTCCGTCATCTCTGGTTGTGTTCATATGTTGTGTGAGCTTATTTTGTCCATTAGATCAAAAGTTCTAAAAAACAAAACAAAAAACAACAGACCCTCCCCTCGAAGAAATCAGGACAGAAGTGGTAAAAAGTGGACAAAGGAGACGGATTAAAATGCCAGGTGTAAACGGGTATCCGTCTCCCTCGTCTGCTTGATCCGATCGACCAAAACGCATCTTAATACCAGGTGTAAACAGGGCCGATAAGAGTGAGCACTCAGGGGGCTGGGTAGCAGTGATTTAAGCTCTAGAGAAATACACAGAGATTGAGAGTGTTGAAAGGATTGTGTTTAATACCACTAATGCTTCAATTTCCACATCACCTTTTAGTGCTTTTATCGATCAAATTGAAGAGAGTCAAGAGAAGAGTGAAAAAATATATTTATATAATTTACTCATATATTACTGCAAATACTATTATTAACCTCTGATGTTAGTGGTTCCTGGTCCAGGACCAATATGAATTTAGGACCGAGGACAGTGCTGATTTTCTGTGGTGGAAACTGCACCAGCACCCTATTGGTGGAAACCGGATTTGGCTGACACAGTACGATAAAACAGAAAATTATATTTTTCCGTATTCATTAATTCATTATTTCCAGTATAGTTGTTCAGGTCTAGCAAGTGGTGTGATACAATGATAACATTATAATACTCAAAGCAGTGTTCATGCAGAATTTATGGTACTTTTCACAAATGGGATACAAAATAGGATCTTAAGAAAAAACAAACTGGAAATTTACCCTATTTTCTAAATGCATGGTAATTAATCTTATTGTGAATCCATGCATTTTTTTTTTTCAATGTAATTTTTAATCAGAACATGATAACTGCCTTTCTGTGGAATGCCAGACTTATCTATAGTGATGTATGCCAGACTTCTCCAATCATCTCATCAACATAAACCACACCCCTTTTCTACATCTGCATCCATCCAATCAACAATTTCAGTTGTGGCCTAATGGTTAGAGAGTAACCAGAAGGTTGCAGGTTCGAGTCTCAATACCGGCAGGAAATGACTGAGGTGCCCTTGCCTTGAGCAAGGCACCTAACCCCCAATCACTCCCCGCGCACCACAGACAAAACGGCTGCCCATTGCTCCGGGAGTATGTCCACGGTTTGCACTGCAGTGTGTGTTTGTGTTCACTACTCACTATTCCTAATGGGTGTGTACTGACTTGGACGGGTTAAATGCAGAGGACAAATTCCAAGTGTGGGGTTACCATACTTGGACTTCTCATGTAACTTTCACTTTTTTTTATTATAACACTGCAACATGCTTTTAACAGTTGAATATGTTGGGGAAGGTCAAGACCCCTGATATGGGACACAAACATTTTCTTATTACTGACATTTGATGCATTTGAAACTCTTCAAACTTGTTGATCTTATGTTGGATAATACTTTACGAAATTGAATAGTCCTCTACAAAAACATAGAATGTGTAACTCATGTTCAGTAATGGACACCAAAGTGTAGGCTATCATATTCATAGAAAGTCCCATGATATCTATACAAAAAGTCTAGATACTGATATCACCTGGCTGAAATATCAAGACACGTGGAGAAAATCTGTCTTTAACAAAGAAAAAGGCCTGAGAGAAAATTTAAAGTCTAAGTTATTAACCAGCCAATTTGATTCAGGGATAAAAATGGAACACAGCAACAGAGACAGAGAAAGAAAAGCAATTAAGATGACATGAATAAGATGGAGCGAAGAGGAGTTCGAGAGAGAGGTAGAGAAAGAACGGGAGCGAGGGAGGGAGGGATGGAGCGGGGGATATACAGAGTGGAATGCCAGGGCTAATCCCCAGCTCCTGTGTGGTATTTTAACTGTTATTCTTTCCTCCACGTTCCCCTGCCGCCATCACTCACTGCAGTGCAGCTAACAACCACACCATGTCTGGACAAACCTGAGGACAGGAGACGCAGTGGCCGACCCTGCTGGACACAGGGTCTGGCGTCAGCAGGACGTCTGGCCTGACATTTGTCTCCTTACAATAAACAGGATATTTAAAATGTTTATAAATCACAAAACACTAAGGAAAAGTCGTCACGACCTTTGCTCTCAGACCAATAAAAATGCTAAGTCCAAACTAAGTTAGTACATAAAAGTAGACAAGTAAAGCTTTAAAACATCCCACCTCACCTCAGTCCAAATATTTACTTTAAAGTAGGCATGAAACGAAGTTGCAGACATCTTTTCTTCCCTATTGTGAATGTGACGTACATCCAAGATAAACGGATTCTTGAGGAAATAAAAGAATGTAGGGCGGGACTTGATTTTGTCCATCGGGATTTGATTGGATCGTTGTTTGCTATTGCTGAGATGTGATGCGAGTGACAGTTTGTCCCGCCCTCGCGCCAGTAAACACGTCATCAGAGAAGAGATGTTGCAAGATTATGAGGAAACATGAATTAAATGATGTGTGCGGATAAATAATTTATAATAAATACTGAAATATTACATTAAAATTGTTTTGATATCATGGTGACTAACATTTAAATGCATGCCACAGACAAAAAAAGGCAATTCTTCCCAAGTCCCGACGAATACGGCGCGGCGTGGGAATACAAGGCAGGAAAACGATTGAATCAGCTGAGTGAGTGAGTGATCGATCGGTGGCGAGGACGGTGTCTCTTGCAGACAAACCGGTCACTATGGATACCGCCCAACAGTGCACGAGTTGTGGTCTGACCTCTGCCTGCATGTGTCCCCTACAGCTGCAAAATGATACAACACAGCTGAAGCCCGTTGCTAAAAGAAGGCAACTGCGGTCGCGACAGGTGTGCTCGTAGCACCCGGACAGAGACAGAGTAAGTTTAACTGTCACCGAGCATTTTGCCTGTAGGAAAATCCATCTTAACATTGCCAGGTATGACCATCTTAGACCAGCTAGAAACCAGGTAACTTACCGTGCTTAAATGGGATTTTTCAGCAGATAGGCCTTTCCTACAGTCATTAACCAGCAAAGTGCAAAAACAAATAAGCGCCAAACAATGGAAATGTCACTTTGGATTACACAAAATACTTCTGATCAAGTTAACGTACTAGAAAATGGGAATTGCTCGTCTGATTTGGGTAGCAAACGTATGGCTCAGTCCATTATACAGTTTAATTTTCAGTCAACAAACGAAGCAAATTTCAGTGCGCTCTATTTTTCTGCTACGGCCACAATTGCACGCTAAAAAAAAAAAAAAAAAAAAAGAGCGCAACATTTGGCATGGATTACCAGCTGGCAAACAATAACTAGCATTCCACTGCCAGCATAAATGTCAGGGGGTTGCTTCGAGGATCCGACTGTTCTTTAAAGATTTGAGGCTAAAAATAAATGTTTATTTATATATAAAAACATAGCGAATGTTTGTTTCTCAGTTTCTACTCGGATGTTTCCATGGCAGCTGAATCTCAGTCCTCGTGCGAGATTCCTGCGTTCACAGAATCAGCGTAGTTTAAGGGGAAAATAACGGTCTTGGATAATTACGACGGAAAGATTGGGTTCCAGAGGAAATATTTTAAAGGCATCCGAAATGTAATTGGCTACAGGGAAGTTATAGAAACTTTTCGTGGCACAAACGCCGTTGCATAGTGGCGTTTTGAAGGACTGTCCGCGAACCTGGACGGCATCATGTTCACGCGCTCAATACTTTCGACGGACCGCTGGATTCCCCCAAACTTTGCCAAGGGCATGCGCTCTCACGACACAAGCAAATAAGGCATGATCAAACCTACCTGACACAAATGACAGCATGAGCAGGACTCTAAAATTCAGTCCCGGATGAATCGGGTTATTCCTGAGATAATGGGCAGTCATTGTCAGCGCCATATCGCCGCCCGCGCTCTCGTTCTCTCCAAAACTCAGTCTGAAAGCTCCTCAGCAACAACTCCATAGGGAAAAGGCTGAGTCTGGACCGTACCACTCTGCCTCTCCGTTATGGGGGTGTGTGTCTCACCTGAAGCGCAGTCCATGCAAACCGATATTTGTAAAACAAGATGTAGACAAAAGTGGATGGTCAAATATAGCTGAAAGTTTAATGATCGGAGGTTTAGTAGATTGTTCATATTATAAAACACTAACTGTTTTTTTTACCGAGATTTGTTAACACACATTCTTGCAAATTTATTATTATTTTTATATTTGCACGGCATATGCACTTTCACGTTTTCACTGTTATAGCGCGACTTTCTGTCCAATCGGAATGAAAAATGCATGCAAACACGTTGATAGATTTGGGAATGCATGAAATTAAAATCCACCCTATACATTAATCGTATTGTGACTGAGTGAACCTCGTAATTTTTTATCAAAACATCCGTTCGACGACAGACTTCTCTCTGGTGACCTTGTGGATTAATTTACAGGACTGAATTGTTTACCACAAGACTATGATGTGCACTAACAAAGAAAATAGGGTCCATTTATTTTTGATTTCTTGGCGAATTAAATTTTCCTCATATAGGCTAATGCCAAAAGCCTTTGCCTGAATTGTACTAGCCTACTAGGCTACTCAACAGTATGCTATTCCCAATTCAGCATGTGTCAAATCAATAGACATACAATGCGTAACAAATCAAACCAGTCATAGGCCTTACAATATCACGATGGCAGCATTTGAAATCGCATAGGCTACTCGACTAGAAACATTTTTGAATAAGTAATAACTTCACAACCGCTAAAAAAGTATGTTCAATATATGAAATGTGTGTATGACTGATTGTAATCTGGACTAATCCAGTCATTTTATGAAAAAAGTTTGAACAAATTGCAACAGAAGCAAACTCAACTGATTTTGTATCCTCAATATGTCCTGAGTAAGGACAAAAAGCCCCGAAGAATCCCATTAGGGGAACGTTTCGAAAAAGACCCAAATTCATACGTCTATTCTTTTTCTCACGTGAAAAGTGTACAAATTTTAACCTTTAGATATCATCATGAAAATCACTGAGTTGATTACTTACATCAAGACAAACAAAAAATGTATTACAAGTTTTTTTTAATTGTTTGTTAACATGGACAAACGGTGCATAATATAATTACGTTTTAGCTAATTTGAATAATTACCCAAACAGATCTAAACATTGGGTATAGCAGGTGAAAATGTTTTTTTGAATCTTGTTGACATATAACAGTAAAAGACTTAATGTTAAGGTCTGAATGGAACCCATTTAGGCTACCCATGAACATTAATACAGGAAGAAGTACTTTAGAAACCAGCCTTTATTAATTATTATTGCAGAGATGGGATGGGCATTGAGTGCATTGTGTACGTAATTAGATTTTTTGATCCAAACACTTTTTATTTCACCTTTTGTCACATTTTGGATTAAAATGACTGGACTAGACGTAGGCCTATAGATTCGCCATGTTGCTCTTATCACGTGACCTACAGCGTCAGTTGCATCGCTTCACCGCCGTTCACAAATCCTCTCCTGTGTTCTCATCATGGGACAGTAAAGTGTCCATGCATTTCAGAATCTCGCTGGAAGTAGGTCATCCTTTTGCCTAGTACTGTGATTCGGACATACATCTTATGTCACATAGCCTATTTTATTTCGCCTATGTAGGGAAGTATGTGATGTTTTGGATGCAGCCAGAGACATTTTAAAGTGTATTTTTGTTATAGCGCCACCAACTGGCCGTGCTCCATCAAATTTGTAAAGTGTCTTTTCACTTTTCTGTTATACAACTCGAAAGGAATTAGGACTAATTTAATCGTAATCAAAATCTTGTGTATTGTTTGTGAGTTTAAAACAGAACATTAAAAGACAAGTTGGGATCGTCATCAGATATTTTCCCAGTTGTTGGTTCAGTCCCACAACTAGGCACTAATTTTCTGTTAGCTTCAGGCTTAATCCCCGTACCCCCTGCATGCTAATCCACCCAGACACCCCCCCCCCCCACACACACACACACACACAAGAAAACCCCTCACCCCAATGCTACCTCTTAGTCTGAGTCTGATTGAGACATATAGAAATTAACAAGCTAATCCTACCAAACAACAAATGACTGGGCGGCCAATAACTCCACCCCATTTATGCCAGATCAGCAATTTGTCGACTTTCTGTCTTGTCTCAATCCACCCAGGGTAAGCTTTAGCTCAACCATTTATTTGTATGGTAGCTGGAAAACAAAGAAAGAAAAGTTATGCCACTCCTTTCCCCCCTGTTACCTGATTTTTTTTCTCTCTAGGGCATTGTTGATCACAGCATGCAAGAAAATAACTCAAAAAGAGCTTGATCATGGAAAATAATTATAATAAAAGAGTGCCTTTACAGTAGATTTCCCATTTATAAAGTTGTCTAAACGATTTCCCAGGAGTCGCAATGCACCATCAATAAAGTCAGCTCACTCTGTTACTGATATCTCCTCCATGAAAACAGTACATCAAAGACAGAGATCCCCAGACTCTCCCACAACCTCTCTGAACGAAGCAATGAGCCTCGTTCCTTGAGGATCTGGTTTTTGCAGCAGCCTATGAACCAAGAGACTCCTTCCATTCAGCAGTGGTTTTGTCCATCTGCATCCAGAAGGTTTGGATTACAAAGAATCCGGCCCATCATCATCGTTCCTCCGGCTAAACCCTAAAACCCTTTTTGTTGTTTGTTGACACAGTTTTTTCTAAGACAATCCATGAACCAAGCAATAAATCCTCTCTCTTACTTGTTAGACGCAGGCGAGTTTAGTTTTTTTAATGTGAGGGATGCCTATTGGAAAATAATGTTCTGTTAAGACTCTGGAAATTTATGAACATTTTTATTGAATGTTTTCTTCATCTACTGTTAATGTGTGCCTGTGTTTCACCTTGCTTTCACCTGACTGTTTGGACTAGAATTATTCTAAAAGCAAATTTTCCTTCTAACTCATTCTTTCACCATTTGTTAATTTGGAAAAGGAGGAAAAACATTGAAGGAAAACTGGGCACACAGTCTCACCTGGCAGTGAGAGAGTGACTATTTATGAGGTACTCCAAGTGATTAAAAAATTCAAGAAGAACTTACTGGGTGACTGACAACTTTATGATGATGAATAACTTAATTCTGATGTATATCCCACAGTTCTTTCTAATGTCTGACAGGGGATCGATAAAGTTTTTTTTTTCTCTCTCTGTCTGGATGTGTGTCTGTGTATTAAAGTGAAAATGTAGAATGAGCAAGGCAGGTTCTGACTATAGAGATTCTTTTTTTGTTGTTTTTTTGGTCAAGTTAAAGTTTTGGTGTAGATTTATGTGTAGTTTATGGCATTTAGATATAAACATAGCCTTGTTTAGAGCAAAGTATTTACATATATATACACACACTATATGTGTGTGTGTGTGTGTGCGTGTGTGTGTGTGTGTGATTATACAAATAGTCTTATTTAAAAAAAAAAAAGTAAAAAAAAAAAACAAATTAATGTATATTCATAACTTATTAAACTAAATTATTAATAAACAACTTTTTTTTAGAGTTATCTGTATTTTTATGTTTTATGACTTAAAATTATAAGCTGGATAGCAGATCACAAGATTAGGAATCATTTTATCTAATTTTGGGATATTAGTATTTGCAACACGTCTCATGACCTTTGACTTGGCCTTTCTGTGATTAAAATGTAAGCGGGAAAAAAACACCAGTGTCATGGAAAAAATAGCCTAATTAAGAAATAAAAAAGTATCTAATTTACAGACATTTTTGTTAGATAGCAACAAAAGCCTTTAAACTTGTTACTGGGAAAGCTTCCCCCAAAGAGGGTTTGTGTCTCTAATGATGTGATGCCATGGCAACATTCAAATGGTAATGTATCCTGAACTCAAGTGATAACCTAGTCCTCATCTTGCTCCAGAGGTTGTCCTGGAATCAGAACAAATGGACATAATTTAAAACACTTGAGATGTAATTGCTCAAACCTGTCCTTTCAAACTCTGTAAAGTGCTTTGCCATTTATCAAGTATTACGTGCCTGAAAGATGTTCCTAAACACTTTAATGTTTTAGTATATTTTACACCCTGAAAAATATATTTTTCACCCTTGTGCTTTCTAAAACCGGGAAGCGCAGGGTGTTGCCTGCTCCGGAATGTTGCATGAGTCCTCAAGGACCCTTAAAAGAGGAGGCTTGGTGCACTCTCTTTTGTACCAACACATCCTGACTTAACTCCCTCATTGCAGAACACTCTATAGTTTACTCAAGTAAATACACTACAGTATTTCATAAGCTGCAGTTTTAAACATTTCCTAGACAAGTAACGTAGAACAGCTCCGCTCGGAAAATAAATCATGTGCCTAATTTCATCATATAGCATGGCAGTAACCAGCACTTATGCATAGAAGAGTTGCAGGGAATGAAGGGTGTCTAATGCCGGCTGGAGGACCGAGGAGCTGTTTATGCATTTGTTTTCATTCATGCTCTCAGTCTCATTTTTGTGTTCAACCTCATCACTCAATGTGAAGTATTCTTTTTTATTCTCATTCTTTTATTTTGGATTCAATAAACAAGTCTTTTACTTTATAAATACAGAGTGCAAGATCAAAAACGGCATGTTTGCTGTCTGGACCGACTATGCGTTTTCCTTTGATTAGTCCAGCAAACCCCAAATTACTTCAGTCTTCAGTCAACACTGGCATGCTAGTGAAGTCCTGAAGTGGGATCATCCAGTGTCCAAATTCATGTAGTCATGGATGAATTTCCCTTACAATGGTCGCAGAGGGCAGACATTGATAGGATAAAACCAAACCAAGTTATATAAACCGTTGCTGAGTTTACTTTGTCCATTTAGCAAGCTGTTTCCCATGAAGATGTCAGAGTCTTTGGAATGACGACTTGGAAGGAACAGTGTTTTTGACTCTTCTATTGTCTTCATGTCACTTTGACCAATGTTTGGTAAAGAATACACTATAAATACCACATTGTTTTTGATGCTGAAACCAGGCTTTGCCACATTGTCCAGAATAGCTAAACAAACATAATAAATGCTATTTTTCAGTTTAGTTCATTTGTTAAAAAAAATTGCTTTTACAAAAAATACTTCATAATTGAGTAGGTCATATTTGATCTGTATTTGAAAAACTATTTATGACCTTTCACTTTTGGCCTTTCAGCATGTTTGTAATCTATCAATCATATCTAGAATTCTTGTACATTTCCTCCAATTTGGAATATTCTTTAATGATTTTGAAAATTAAGGTCAGAAGAGAGGTCTTCACAAATCACATTAAAAAAGTATAATGTTCATAAATTAATAGCAGAAGGAATTTACTTAAAATAAACATTATTAAGAAAAGTTCTTTCCCAAAGTTCTTAAATATTTTTTACCCAAATGGTCTCTTCTCTAACCAACCAACCAGCCAGTCAGCCAGTCAGTCAGTCATTGAAATTTATCATCAATCAATCAATCAATCAATCAAGACTGGAACATAGTCTGAGGTTAACACCACTACATGCCACAGACAAGTGTTACACCCATTAAGATGAGAAGACCATGCCAACTGTATATTGTCCTATATTGCCTCCTTCTGGCTGTTACTCTTGGGAAGATCCTCCCTTCTCAAAAAGAGAAAAACAGACATACCAAAAAAAAAAAAAAAAAATGGTTATAAAATAAATAAATAATGTTCATCTACATGTTAAAACCAATTCAAAGAAAAAAAAGTAATAAACAATTGTTATATTTGTGTCCACGGTTCCTACATTTAGACATCTAATGCATGACCTATGCGTTAACACTTTCTGTCACTCTATTTGTCCATCATGAAAACATAAGGACAACAATGAATCTTAAGATTCTTTGTCTTTTTATAGACCCAAGCCATTTGAGTAATATTAAATAGCCTTTCCTTAAATATATATTTCTTTGTTGCAGCAAACCATCAATAAATCTGTTTGGATTAAGATCTGAAAGGACGAAGGAATGACTTATGACCTTGGCTCTGAAGAGCTGACTAAAAAAGTGATAAGTGAAAAGAGAAAACTCTGAACGGCAGGCAGACAACATCTCTACTGACATGATGGATGTGCACAACAGGTGGAGATAAATATGAGTGTTTGGATGGTGGACTGTGAAAAACAGACGATAGATTCATTACTGTTTTTGTTGAGAATGGCAAGAGAAAATTAATGGGACAAACAAGACACAGAAGTGAATATATTTTAGTGCTATTACAAATTTTGTTCTAGAAGGGAGGTCTTTACACATTGCATTTTAATAGATGGTTAAAAAAGTTAAAAACCTATAAAAATATCACATAAGAAACAGACAGACAGAAATTCACATTAAAACAGATAATTGCCACTTTATTTTAAGAAATCACAAGGATAGAATATGTCTGTAATTGTAGATCACACATATTGTGCATGCAGTAAAAAGAGAGAGAGTTTAATCAAATTTATGAAACGGCTGTTTTTAAATCTAAAACTAGTTTAAATTTAAATCCATTCAATTAAACTGTAATTGCACTTTTCATTTACTAACAAATGTGAAGCACCTAATCTGGAAAGTGACTCTTTATCTATCAAGTCCCATTTCTTACCCTGATACCTTGTATTTAATACGTATATTAATTTACATAAATTATCTTGGTTGCATCACAGATTTGTAACACACTACACAGCATTTGTCCTGAGCCACATCCATACACAAATAAATAACTTGCAGATGGGAGTATTAATCAAGTACAAATACAATTCTGTGCTTCAATAATGGTAGAGGTCTTTGATTCAGAGTGTCCAAGATACATTAAAGCTGTGCTAAAGGTCTTGATTTGACTAGTCCTCTCGTAGATATGCATCTGGGATGTCCTCATCCTCCATTCCGGGGCTGAGGGTTTGAAGCCTTTCACTGTTCTCAGCTTTAGAGTCTTTGAGTTCTCTCTCAGCCTTCAGCATCAGCTGCCGAAAATGTTCCGCCTGGGACTGTGCGACCTGCAGACTGCTCTGTGCTGTCACAGAAGCTTGGTCAGCCCCTGGAAAGGACAAACAGGGTTAGGCTATTACAACATGTGGCTAAAAGCGCAATCCAACACATGACCACCAAGTGGCAGTAGGTGCCAAATGTCAATGAGTCTCTACACTAAAGCTGGGTTCACACAGTACAATTTTGGTCACGATTTGGCCGTCTGAGACAATTTTGCAAATCCTAAAAGATTCCTCTAAACCAAGGCTAAAATCTGAAGTCTCTGATCATTAGTTTGACATGTTCACCGACAGCCGATTAAGACAGCCGTGTCAGAAGATTTGACTCACAGTCCTGCAGTGAGACTTCTCCTACAACGGTTATCAAATTGTCATTGTTTTTCAAGACAAGCCATGACAAAAATTAACACTAGAGCTTTTTTTGTAGCCACCATTTCTATCCCGCGTGTAATGCAGCTCACTGTCACCGGACGTGTCATTGATTGATTGATGTAAAACTCCGGACGAGTTTTCTTCTGTGCTTCCGTTTTTGAAATCCATATTTTTAAAAAGTCAATGTAAAATGCACAAGTGAAGTTAAAAAGGGTATTAAAACGACGACCAAATACAGAAAACATACACATTTCTATAAAATAATATAATAATAATAAATAATAAAATAAAACAGCATATTAAAATGATTTCAGAAGGATCATGACTGGAGTAATGGCTGCTAAAAAATCAGCTGTCAGCACAGGAATATATGACATTATAAAATATATTAAAATAGTAAATATTTATTTGTTGCATGTAATTGTATTTATATTTAAAGTTATAATTGTAATATTATTACATAATATTACTTTTTTACTGTATTTTTAATCAAATAAGTACAGTTTAACACTAAAAAGTGGTAACCTCCAATTGGTATCTTAAAGAGCTGTTTTTTACGTGATTTAAATGTATTTTGTTGGTATAAATGAATGTGTGTGTGTATATATATATATAATTCATATTATATAATATAATTTAAAAAAATTATATATATTATATATATTATAACAACATATTATATAATATTTTTAATAATTTATTTTTTATTCATATTTTTAAGTTTGTTTAAAGCAGTGTTAACTTAATAGCCTTAAAGGGATAGTTTACCCAAAAATGAAAAATCTGTCATTAATTACTCACCCTCATGTTGTTCCAAACCTGTAAGACATTCGTTCATCTTTGTAACACAAATGAAGATCTTTTTGATTAAATCTGAGAGCTTTTTGTCTGCACGTTTTACAGAAGGATAGTAAAGACATCATTAAAGTAATCCATGTGACTCCTATAGTTTAACCTCAATTTTATAGAGTGACGACGAGTGCTTTGTTTGCGCAAAAAAACATAATTTACCACTTTATTGACTAAATATGGTATGTTCACGCAACAATGTCTGCCCTCGCACATTGTGGTGCTCTCGTGAACGCTTGTTGGAGATTAATATTTTGTAAATAAAGTGGTAAATTATGTTTGTTTTTTTCTCAAGCAAAGCACTCGTGTCGCTTCATAAAACTGAGGTTAAACCACTGGTCACATGGATTAGTTTTACGATCGGTTTATGAACTTTTTGAAGCACCAAAGTGGTAGATGTGTAGACTGTTAATGGAGGGACAGAAAGCTCTCATTCATTTGTGTTCCGAAGATGAAGGAAAGTCTTACGGATTTAGAACGACATGAGGGTGAGCAAATCATGACAGAATTTTCTTTTTTGGGTGAACTAACCCTTTAAACACCTACTCCAGAAAATGAGCACTTACCTGCATTGAAAGCTGCCTCTGCTGCCAGCTCTGAGAGATTGATGGCAGTCATCCAGCAGGATTCAAATCGTTTGTAATCCTTTCTCCTGTCAATTACCTAATTAAATAAGAAAAACTTGCAATCAATTCCATTAAAAGGTATATTTATATACCATAATGTCAGAAAAACACAACTACAATTTAATACTGTAAGGATAAATCTAATTTGAAAGCTTGTGAACATTAACTCTGTTTTTCCAAGTCATTACCTCCTGACGCTGGCCGAGGATGACCTGCCAGATAGCATTCTCCTCTGCAGGAGTAAGTTTGCTGATGGAAGCCACATAGCGCTTGTGTAATGTCACAAGACTGTTTATAGCCTAAACAAGACAAGTAATTTTAATCATGTTTTAAATTTTAATCATGAAAACGAAAGCATCAATCCACTGTTCTAATAGTTGTGATTACCTTAACATAACCTGTGAGGGTGTCGAGCAGCGCTAAAGTAGTTTGTGAGAGGAAAGTATTAGCACTGTCAGTGACCAGAGACGATGCTCTCCGTACCAGATCTTCATGAGACAGACCTTCTGGTTTCTAAACAAGACAAAGAAAACAGAGTGAGAGGTTTTTCAGATACCAATTTAGTAAAAAAATAACACTAAAGAAGTTTTAATGGCAGACTGTAAAGTCATTATATGGTGAAGACTGAGCTTATAAATATTAATTAGATGTGTTGACATTACTAGGTCATCTTCCTAGCCATTCATTCATGCCATCTAATTAATATTCATGAGCCTTCACCTTGGTAGGCCACTATTAATAAATTGATGACCTGTGCAGATGTGCAAGACTAAAGTTGGTTTTTGTAGATGTTTTATGCTGTTTTATTCAGATGCGATATCAACCCAGCTTTACATTTGCTTTAATATTTTCAACATTAAATAAAATTCAGATTGAATTTCCCTATTAAAGGCCCACTAAAGTGCCTTGGAACGCTCATCTTAGTATGATGCATTGACGTAATTTCCACTGAAACAGGAAGCTAAGGATATATTGAATGACTCCTCCCCCTTTTCAAATAGCCAATAGCGTTTAGTTTACCTCACAGACTGCAAGTCGTACTTGACAGCACCATGGAAAGCCCCGGTAACGCTTTAGATTAAAGCCCGGAAAGTACTGCGTAATTAAAGCGATTTTACAACTTAACCTTCGGTAATTATAGTGTACCTATAATGTACTTACAATATAAGTATAAGGGAACAATATTTTAAGTTTGGGGAATAAAGGGGTAACAACCAGGAGAATTAAAAAAAAATGATTTATACTGAAAGTATTATAGAACTAAGGGGTACTTATTCTACTATTATGATATAACAATCTTACATTTGGGTGCAATTTAGCAAGAACATACACTGCGTACCTTTTTGAAATAATGGTGAACCAGTACATACTGTATAGGCTTTTTAAAAATTACAGGGTACATATCTATGCATTTATAAAGTAATCTTTTTAACAAAAGTGCACTGAAAATGAAAACTATTGCAACTTTTGCTTAAATATTGGGGAAAGATACTCTTGTTTCATGTAGTGGTGCTTGTTACCCCCTTGTTCCATGTAGTTACAGGGTAAGTGTGACATTGCGGGCCCTAAATTAAAGTGGTGCTTGTTACCCCCTTGTTCCATGTAGTTACAGGTGTAAGTACAATAAAAATGCATATGCACAATCTTATATCACTGACTCAGAAACCTTTATTTATTATACAAGCACCACTTACCCTGTAACCAGATATATTTCCCAGTATTTAAAATTGCAATAGTCTTACTTTTTCTTGCCTTGAAACATGTAAGCCCAAACTTAAACATCTGCACTTTTGCTATAAAAAAACAACAACAACTATGCAGTATGTATTGGTTCACAATTATTACAAAAGGGTACACAGTGTATGTTCTCGCTAAATTGCTCCCAAATGTAAGATTGTTGTATCATAATAGAAGTAGAATAAGTACCCCTTAGTTCTATAATACTTAGGCCTACAGTATAAATATATTTTTTAATTCTACTGGTTGTTACCCCCTTTATTCCCCAAACTTTACATATTGTTCCCTTATACTTACATCCAAGTACTTTAAAGGTACACTATAATTACAGAAAGTTACACTGTAAATTCCTCATAATTACACAGTACTTCCCGGGCTGTAATATAAAGCGTTACCAAAGCCCCTTTTACACAGCGCGTTGATCCCGGGAAATTGCCACAACGCCTTCTGTGTGAACGCAAAAACGACCCGGGATTGATGCCGGGTTGGGGACCTTGTAACATTGCCGTGTTCAGTCCCGGTGTTGTGCCGAATTTCGACCCCCGCCAAATTATTACTCCCCCTAGCATTGGTAGGTTTAGGATTAGTTGTGGAAGAGGGGGTAGGATTAGGGGCGGGGTTGGGATTAGGCAAGGTACTGACTTCAACAAGCGTGGTTTCTCCAGAGAGAAATCGCAGCTCATAAGCAAACTTAAGACGCTGCTGAGACATTACATGTCACATCGATGTCACGTGTCTTTACGGGATTTTTACGGGTTGTGTGTGAACACACTCTCTGATTCCGGAAAATCACTGGCAGTGTGAATGAACCAAAATCAAACGAACCCGGGTCAAATCCCGGGTCACTTATCCGTGTATTTTCCGGAATCGCTGTGTGAAAGGGGCTGAAGTGAATCCGAGCGCTGATGGATTCAATAGTAGAGGTGTGAATAAATTTTAGACATTTCATTCTTAACCAACGTGTAGTTGGAAAATGGAATAAAACTCGAGCGTTTGAGCAACCAAACACACATCTCCAACCTATTGCTCCGTGACGTGTCAACGCCTTTTTGGCCAGGTGGTATTTATAGCATAAGCAGCGGGACACTTTAGATTCTAGAGAGCATTTGATTGGACAGAAGATGTGATGAGAAGCTGAAGTCTGTGGTGATGTCTTAAAAATCCATGATCCATTTTAGCGGAAGTGAGAGATTTTAAGTTTTGAATGCTTATATCTCCTAAATGCAAATTTTGTCATTGTTTTGGAACACACCAGCTTATTCATAACTTTAAGGCTAACGTATTCATACTAAAAGCTTAAAAACGTACATTTTGATTTTAGGGGGCCTTTAAAAGATGTCAAACCTGAAATGTCAACAGTTTTAAAAGCTGCCATAAAATGAAGTTGCAATAATTTTCTTCCCTATTGTGACATATCTGAGTGAAACGATAGTGAATTATCAGAAATTACGACATCTTTTGAACTCTATACTTGTTTATTAAATATTAGCAGCTAATCGCACAGTGAATGTTCCAGTCACATTGTGATGGTGCAGACCTGGATGAAGGGAACAGCACACAGAGCACCTGTGACACTCAGCGTCTTCCAGTTCTTCCTGATGAGCGTGGGCAGAAGAGCCAGTCTGGGGCTGCTCTGACAGGAGCTTCTGTTCATCAAGGAAGCAGCACAGCTACACAAAACATAATGGCAAAGTTCAGGTCAGAAACAGTCAATTAAAGGACAACACTTAATATAACGTACACGACAGTTTGAACACGTCCGGCTAAAATAAAACGGAAAGTAAGCTATTAAATAATCTTAGAAAGTTAAAATAATAAATATGTTCCAGCAATGTAACACACCAGCCAAAACATCTGATCGAATATACACAACATGTTTATGTAACGGCAACTGCTGTTCCATTATTGATGATTGTACAGAAATCTCAAATACACTAAGACTACGTTTCATGAAATTAAACAATCTTGAAGAATGAGACAGCTAAAAATATACAACCTCAGTCCAACAGCGAACAATTTCCTTCTGTACGCCGCCATACTTGTTGAGATGAAGGATGACGATCTCCCTCTGTCGGTTTTGACAGAGAATTGCACCCTGAGGTCCAAGGCAAGCCTTGTGAATATTTAAGATGACCGTCCGAAACCTTAGCGAATGACGCACTTTATACACGTTTTAAGATGACCGAATCCTTAGCGAATGACGCTCTTTATACACATATTTTCTGTCACCCTCGTTATTAAATGATTTGTCAATTGTTAAACCTAATGGTTTACCATACATAACCATTAATCAAGAACCCAATATCTTATAGTGATCTATATGATTTTAGCCCATTTAGTTTCATTTTCTCTATCTCTTTGGCAGTCATAACCGCCACAACCAGGTCTGCAAGCACACTTCTTTCACCATAGCTAAACAAAATGCCATGACATTTAGGCCTATATAAGCTTGATCCTGTTTTACAGGTAGGGCCTAGTGTTTTCTGGTTTGATCATTGTAACCTTTATCAACCCTCTCATATGACCTGAATAACATTGACATGACAAGATGTCGTTTATCTTTTTTATCTTTTATCCTTAAAATAGTGATTAAGGCTTTAGAGAATTATTTTTATCTAACTAAATAAAGACTAAAGGGAGACAGACTTTCAAGTGATTATATATTCATATTAACCTATATATATATATATATATATATATATATATAATGAAGACTTCAGATGCATAGATGCAAAAGCCTCTAGGTCCGCCTAACGTTTTTCTTTAATATTAACATTTTTATCAGGCTCCTATGTAGCCTATAGGTTTCTACCTAAGTAGCCTACCGACATTTCTGAATGGGCTGCGGCTGGGATTTAGTGAGTTTGAAGTGAAAGTATTTGATGAGTGTATACTATGTGCGGAGAGCATTCACTTAATATTATTATCTCATTTTTGACATAGGTGGCTTTTAGAGGCTTTTGAATCGGAGGTCTTCACATATAAAGTTTTAGTTATAGTTAATGATTCAACGCTGAAGGCAGACACAGATGTTTTTTGTTCATGGAGTTATCAAATTGATTTCCAAAAGTTAGGCCATATGAGCGAGTCTTGTCCAGATGTCATTTCTATTGATCATGAGAGCTGAAGACTCAAGAGTCCTGACTAACCTCTCATTAAGAAAAGTGTTTGTGTTTGTGAAGGATTCAGGCCCTGAAGACTTTTAGTGAACCTTTAGTTGTCTCTGTTATTCTTTATGGAAATACCTATTCCCAAACAATCGTATAAAGAAAAACATATTTGTCAGTCTGAAAAGTCAATGTAAATAATTAATGCGATCACTAACTTTGAAAAGCATGGGGAGTTCCAACGTTGTGTTTGTCGTGATACCCGAGAGCTTTCAAGACGCACTTCCTTTTCTAAAAACTCACAGAAGGGAAATATAATGATGTTGTTTGTTATGGTGCAATCTTTTAAATGTCATCATGATTGATTTTGCAATACTAGATCTTAACTAAAATTTTTGGCAATGTTATTCACATAAAAAAAAAGGAACATTGAAAATCTGTTCAAAACTTTCACAATGCTTGCTAATTATGGTACTCCTCAAAGCTCTGCATTGTTTATTTTAATTTATTTATTATATTCTAATGAATGTATTGTTAATGAAAAAATAGGCCACAAATGATAAAACAAACAAACAGCAACATGGTTGGACACTGCTATTGAGTCTTGTTTAAATCCTTTGCTTTCCCTTTAATGGTCACAGTAAATATTCCTTGGCTTCTTTTGTCCATGTAATTTTGTTAATGTGATGTTTGACAAACAGGGTTTCTTAAGGGTCATTTTAGGGGTGCTAACATGTTGAATATATTAGTCTCATCATGGGTGTCAAACATTAAATAATATCTCCTGCAAAACAATCTGTCAGTGATTTAGAATGGCAAATAACAAAAAGACAAAAAGAGAAGCATTTCATTCCACATGAACACTTTTTGTTCCTCATGTTTTCCCCCCTCACTTTTCAAACAAGTGAATCAGTGAATGAACAGGCTATTACTCAGTTCATTTAGATGTTAATTTTGTCCAAAACGGTACAAAATGACTATAATCTAAATGACAACTGTAATAATCTTCAGCACATAACCAGAAAGAGTGTAAAAACATAGTCCTTTACAAAAAAATAGCAATTACATTGGGAATTACATTTTACTATGGGAAAATAATACAAACAGATTGTCAAAAAGGTTATAACATGCCAAAATGCTTGCATATTTAATCTGATTTTAGTCTGATTCAACGTACATCTTTACAACAAATTACAAAACATTTTTATCTCATATTATTATCTCAATGTCCAGGAACATATCCAATATATTTAAATATGGTACCATATTAAGTGCACATTTTTTAACCATTGCTAAACGCTTTGCTCTATTATAACTGGTTTAACTTTAACTTTACCTCTACCGAATGTGAGGTAGTATTTAAATAAAGATCTAAAGGCCTGGTCTCGCATGCCATATATAAGAGGACTTAGACATTTAGGGAAAATTATAAACACTATAAAGCAAAAATACATCACATTCATTGAAGTCATATAGTCAGTATAAACATAAATAGCTTCTTGGATAACTCCAACTAAGATGGATGATGCCCCAAGACCCAGCTGTATTAGATGCAACAGAACAGTCTTGTTGGCTTTTTTGGCAGACATTTTATCACAGGAGGCTGTTTTAGCCACGGCTGCTATAGAAGCATAAGCAAAGATAATAACAAAAGTCACTAAGACAAAAAATATACATGTGAAAGCTATATCAAGTTTCTTATATATCTGCAGTCTGAAAAGAGTAGTTCTTGAGCAGAACAAATTCATTGCAATGTTTGTAGAATCAATGGAATAGAAAATAATCAACTCAGACAGGGACTTAATGAAACCCAAGATCAAAACAACACTGAAAGCTACGTGAGTTCTTTCAAAATTTGTAATTTCTGCATGTCTGAGAGGGATGCAGATGGCCACATATCTCTCCAGTGACATCAAAGCCAGATTTAAGTTAGAGACATGATAGAGAACTGTTGCAGCCATGAGAAGAACAAGACAGACATTTTTCATAATTAAAATCCTACTAATAGCACACATAAACAACACTACACTCATAATGAGATTCAGTGTATCGATCCAAAGCATGTGACCAAAGAGAATATAGCGGGATGTCTCCTGAAAAACAGTCTTTTTCCTCAAAGTGAAGAGCATGACCCCGTTGACATAGAGGAAAATGACACATGGGGTCACAAGCAAAAAAGCCTTCATTGGTGCATCTTTATCCAACACCAAAAGAGTCTGAGTGAGGTTAGATTTAGATTCATTAAAATTAGACATTTTCAAAAGTGTATAACCACAGATGCTGTTATAGAACACTGAATAGAGTAACACTGCAATACTGCAACGATCCTTGTAACTGCAAATCTACAGTACACGCTTCCCTCACATGGGTTGTTTAAGGCAGAGAGGTCAGAGCATCACATTTTATGTACCATCAAACAGAATCCCAGTGGCTGGTTTGTGTGTGTGCATCACAAAGCATGCCACAATAGCACACAATAATATAGAAGATTATTATAACTGCCTGACTATAAATAGCATAGCACAAGCAGTTGTGTAGTAATGGGCAAAAGGGATTTCTACTGGTTTTTTATATGTAACCCTATGATGGCTGTCATGACGGATCCATTCAAACATACATTAAAATACTGTAGCTTACAGATTAAGTAGAAATACAATGAATATGCAATAGTGCATATATTTATCAAAATCCTCCTTTCTAATTGAATTTTTTCTAGCTAAATAAGTTAGTTCCCCTTCAGTCAGTCACTCTCGACGTACATCAGAGATGATCTAACAGAATGGAGATCTCGCTTGAGAGACCAATCCACTTCGAGTGTAAACTAAACGAGCCAATGCACATTGACATGCGATAATTTGCAACAGCTGCTCTGCCTCGCAGCGGGAGCATTTAATGAGCAGCAGGTGCGTCACATCTTTGTCTTTCGCTTCGGAGCCAGACGGTGAATGCTGTTCACACTGGCAGTTTAGTTCGTAACAGGGTGCGGTTCGCATGCAAAATCGCTAATGTGAACGCTGTTATGCGGACCCGGGTGCGCACTGGGGTACCGAACCCGAGACTACCTGGAGGAGGTGGTCTGAGTTCGGTTGCTCCCAAACCGTGCCGCGGTTCGCGTGAATGTGAAAGCAACACGGACTCGGGTGCGCACTTGTTCAGGAAGTAAACTAACCTGCGCATGTGTTTTAGCTTATTGTGATGTATTCAGTTACCGGTAAATAAAACAATTGTAAGGGATGATAGTGTTGGGGCTATGTCACGATCATCAGTGAAAGTGCCCGTCATTACCACCAGAGGGCACTCAACCCCGGACATTGTCATTCCCTCATAAAAACTACATTTCCCATAACTCACTGCCTGGACTCATCATCCCTGATTGCATCCACCTTTGTCTCATTACCTTGTCAGTCTCAGCTTATTTAAACCATTTACACTAATTCATTCTCTGCGAAGTCTTGTATGTTGTTGCCCTACATTTCTCAGCATTTCTCTGGTTCCATGTATTTCGGTTTTTGGACTCTCTGCCCATGCCTTTGGATTACCTGTTTGCCTTGTTCCCAACCTTGTGTGTTTTGTTTGTTTGGACTGCTTACCTGTGTTTTGACCTGTTGCCTGTACATTTGATTACGTGTCTGGATTGCCCCATCATTAAAAGCTGCATTTGGATCTCAACCCTTGTGTCTCGAAGCAGTTTGTTACACATATGACCTGAATAACATTGAAATGACAATATGTTGTTTCTCCTTTTTCCCTTTTATCCTTAAAATAGTTTCTACATACAGTTCTACCAGAAAGACTCGGGAGAATAAATACTGTAACAATAGATACATTTATTGATAGCCCAGCAAGCAATAAAGTTCTTTGGCGTAGGCCCCGTCCATGGCTCGCAATCCGAGGGTTCGGACTCTGCTTTTCCTGCCTGAAGACGAAGGCAGGGGCGCAGCCGACCCCCTGGGTGGTATAGGAAGGGACCATCCTGGTGGTGGTGGGGAGGATGGAGGTAAATGAAAGCGTCAGCATCTGCGAACTCAAACATGTGTAAGTACCGGCCTTTTATACCACAAGTATTAGACACGATTGGATAGATGAGAAGGTAATAAGTGACGTAGCAATTGAATCTTCCTGGCAGAACTTAACTTTAAAGCTTCCATTTTTATGATTTCGGCTTCAGATAATATTTTTTTTTTATCTGATGAAATAAAACACCAAAAGGAGAAAGTGTTATTTCAATCGATGTATTAAAAAAAATAAAAAATTAGTTTAACTTAATGATAATAACCTTGAAGGGAAGTTGATTGATTGACCCCCCCCCCCCCTTCTTTATGGAAATACCTATTCCCAAACAATCGTATAAAGAAAAACATGTTTGTCAGTCTGAAAAGTCAATGTAAATAATTAATGCGATGACTAACTTTGAAGTGCAGGGGAGTTCCAGTGGGGGTGTTTGTCATGATACTCAAGAGCTTACAAGTCACGAAAGACACAGAAGGTAAATATAATTATATTTTTTTAATATGGTGCAATGACATCCCTTAAATGTCATCATGATTAATTCGCAACACTAGATCTTATCTAAACTTTTTGGCAATGTTATGCACATAAAAAAAAAAAAAAATAGGAAAATTAAAAGTCTGTTCAAAACTTTTTACAATGCTTAAGTGCTAATTATGGTATACTCTTCAAAGCTCTGCATTGTTTTTTTTATTTTTATTTTTTTATTTATTCCTTCCCCTCGGGCTTTTCTGAGGTAAACGTAACATTGACATTGTTTACATGCTGTTTTATCTACGTTTTTTCACGGTTGAAACACTGTTAAGTTGTAGGCTCTTTCAACATACCTTCTGATATTCATTCATGTTTATTTTACGCTGTAACTACACCAATAAAGCAGAAGAGATGTAAGGTCTTTTTATCGTCAAACACACCCTGAACTCTCGGTTGACAAACCTTGCTTACTTGAGTCATGCTGGTTAAAAAAATGCGTGAAGGAGTAAATTCAGCCAATTTACTGGTCCGAAAACCAGTCAGTATCTGGTGTGACCACCATTTGCCTCACGCAGTGCAACACATCTCCTTCGCATAGAGTTGATCAGGTTGTTGATTGTGGCCTGTGGAATGTTGGTCCACTCCTTCAATGGCTGTGCAAAGTTGCTGGATATTGGCAGGAACTGGAACACACTGTCGTATACGCCGATCCAGAGCATCCCAAACATGCTCAATGGGTGACATGTCCGGTGAGTATGCTGGCCATGCAAGAACTGGGATTTTTTCAGCTTGCAGGAATTGTGTACAGATCCTTGCAACATGGGGCCGTGCATTACATGAGGTGATGGTCGTGGATAAATGGCACAACAATGGGCCTCAGGATCTTGTCACGGTATCTCTGTGCATTCAAAATGCCATCAATAAAATGCACCTGTGTTCGTTGTCCATGACATATGCCTGCCCATACCATAACCCCACTGCCACCATGGGCCACTCGATTCACATCGTTGACAGCGCTGCCAAATTCTCTGAAACGCCTTTGGAGACGGCTTATGGTAGAGAAAAGAACATTCAATTCACGGGCAACCGCTCTGGTGGACATTCCTGTAGTCAGCATGCCAATTGCACGCTCCCTCAAAACTTTCGACATCTATGACATTGTGCTGTGTGATAAAACTGCACATTTTAGAGTGGCCTTTTATTGTGGCCAGCCTAAGGCACACCTGTGCAATAATCATGCTGTCTAATCAGCATCTTGATATGCCACACCTGTGAGGTGGATGGATTATCTCGGCAAAGGAGAAGTGCTCACTAACACAGATTTAGACAGATTTGAGAACAATTTTTGAGAGAAAAATACATTTTGTGTACATAGAAAAAGTCTCAGATCTTTGAGTTCAGCTCATGAAAAATGGGGGCAAAAACAAAAGTGTTGCGTTTATAATTTTGTTCAGTGTATATTGTTTGTTTGATGCCTTTTACATAATAAAATGAAGCTGGTTAAATTAAATACCAGTCTGTGCCTGCACAGTGTATGTGTGTGTGTATATATATATATATATATATAACAGTCTAACACACTCTCCAAAAATTGACTAGAGGGAATGATAACATTTAATAAACCTTTTAAATTAGTTTTTTGGGGGAGGTATTAAAGTCAAATATCTTGGTTAAATATTTCTATAACTAAATTGACTGCTGCCTCTGGTAAGAAGCTTTCTATAGTCTCTGCTAGTTTCATACCACTTGCAGCACTCGGTCACAGTTTATTTGCTGACTAAATAAGTGTTCATTATTTCACATAGCAGCAAGTGGGTTAACAGATTAATCAGATTTTTTGAGGGACTGAGATGAAATTCCCTAAATAGGGTCTAGTAATGTTCATGGTTAGTAACGACTCTTTATTTTATTGTATTTATTTTTTATTAAAACATTGATGAAATGAAAACAATAATCGTTTCAATACACTTACCAATATATGTGCTCACACTCTGTAGAGAGAAATAAACAATGATTCCTAGCACTGATAACACACACATGGCAATACACATATTTGACTTTTTTCCAGTATGTTTAAACAGAATTTAACTTTAAGATAAGTTAAATTCTGGATAATATCTATAACCAATTAAGTCTTATGTCTTTACCCAGAAAAACAAGACAGCTCAGTTATTTAAGTGTGCATAAACTCCAATAACCATCTCAAGTCATATTTTTAGTTATACAGAATAATCGTTTTATTATCTCAGAAATTAAAGTAAAAGATTACAGATTTCAAGTCAGCAGCACATGCTATTTTTTGCCCCCTACTAAATCTCTGTTTGGCCTTTTAAGACCAAATGTGATGTAGTACTTAAATATAGAGCTAAAGGCATGATCTCTCAGGCCATATATGAGAGAACTTAGACATCCTGGTAAAATCATCAACTCTAAAAAACAAAAATACATTATGTGTAACAAAGTCATATATCAATATACAAATAAATTGTACACTGATTAAATAATACACCGATTAAAATGGATGCAGCACAGAGACCTAGCTGTATTAGATGCAACAGAACAGTCTTGTTGGCTGATGCCTTATCACAAGAGGTTGTTTTTAGAGACATAAGTAAAGATAATAACAAAACAAGTGAAGGCTAAATCCAGATTCTTATATATCTGCAGTCCGAAAAGAGTAGTTATTGAGCAGAATAAAGGCATTGCTGTGTTTGTAGTATCAATGGTGGAAATAATCAACTCAGACCAGCACTGAATCAAACCCATCATCCAAATAACATTAATGGCCATATAGTTATTCTGTAACTGGTGATTTCTGCATGTCTGAGAGGGATGCAGATGGCCACATACCTGACATCAAAGCCAGATTTAGAAAGGCAACCTGATAGAGAGCATTTTTCATAATAGTAATCCTACTAACAGCAGATACAAACAACAGTGACTTCATAAAGAGATCAAGGCAAAGCAGTATTGTAAGATAAAAAGGTCACAATTACTTTTCATTTTTTAATTCCGTGGCAGAAACATGATGTATGTGAGTGTATAGGCCTACCCTTCAGGGCTACACATTTTTTGTAGTCAAGGAACAATATACAATAGAAATTCAGAAGATGTATTCTGTAATGTCCGCCATGTGATGCATTATAGAAACACAAGACGAAACGAGATGAACATACAAATTCACATCAGACTTTACTCAACAGAAGCTTCTAAGCAAAAAAGACATAACCTAACAAACCCAAAGCATGGATTCGAAAACAGACCTCAATAATAAAACAAAGATGTCTGCTATGCTGATATAAAAGTTCCTGTACATTGGTAAACAACATCAACAAATTACATCTCAGCTGTGCATTATAAGAGAATATCATAAATTCTTACATTCAATAAGGTTAAATATATAGGCCTATGATTTAAATACATTTATCAGTATGCATGTGTGCATATGCAGGGTCTTGATGAAACCACAACACAGTATGTCCACCTCTTAAACTACAAATAATTTTTATTAAAACAAATCATAGGGCCATTTAAAAAGATAAATTGATCAATTTAACTGATAGACAAATAGATTGCACAGATCCATTGTAGAGGACAGAGCAGTCATGTCAAACAGTTTGGAAAAACTCTATTAAGACGCTTGGACAAGAAAAAACAGAGCAAAATATGAATTCAAAAACTGTGCATGTACTGTTACAGACCACTGAGCAAAAAATCAACTCAAGTATTTAAGACAATAAAAGGAAAAGCTGAAGATTCCCCAAACACATCATATGAGTTTTTGTTTATAAAGAAATTATCTGACATAATACTAAATGCTTTAGCTGTTGCACAAGTCTTTTTTTATAGATTTCCAGAAGGATTAGCATAAAGTCTCATATTTTAACTATTGTAAATTCATTGACAGTGTGATAAAAACAGTTGTCATAAGATTAAATGGACAACAAACATTTTGCATGTGGTTACTGCACTGGCAAACATTGTGACAAGTATGGTTTAATGTGATTGGCAAATACATGCTTTTCCATAAGTCAGTTATTATTGTGTGGTTGATCTCAAATATCTCATCATTATGTAAAATCATATTTTAAACTTTTAGAGAAATATATTTTTGTATCTTAATAATGAAAGAATATTATCAACTAAAGGCTTATAACATTTAAATAGTTTTTTTTTTCCCATCAGTTAGTATCTATTTTTCCTCCTCTATTGCTGTATTACATCTATTTTGCTTTTTGAGACCAAATGTGAAGTAGTATTTAAATAAAAAGCTAAAGGCCTGGTCTCTCATGCCATATATAAGAGAACTTAGACATTTGGGGAAAATCATAAACACTACAAAGCAAAAATACATTACATGTAATGATGTCATATAGTCAGTATAAATATAAATGACTTCTTGGATAACTCCAACTAAGATGGATGCAGCACAGAGACCCAGCTGTATTAGATGCAACAGAACAGTCTTGTTGGCTTTTTTGGCTGACATTTTATCACAGGAGGCTGTTTTAGCCACGGCTGCTATAGAAGCATAAGTAAAGATAATAACAAAAGTCACTACGACAAAAAATACACATGTAAAAGCTATTTCAAGTTTCTTATATATCTGCAGTCTGAAAAGAGTAGTTCTTGAGCAGAACAAATTCATCACTGTGTTTGTTGTATCAATGGAATAGAAGATAATAATCTCAGACAAGCACTGAATCAAACCCATCATCCAAATAACACCAATGGCCATGTTAGTTCTTTTGTAACTGGTAATTTCTGCATGTCTGAGAGGGATACAGATGGCCACATACCTCTCCAGTGACATCAAAGCCAAATTTAGTACGGCAACCTGATAGAGGGATTGTGCAGCCGCAAGAAGAATGATACAGACATTTTTCAAAATAAAAATCCTGCTTACAGCACACACAAATAACACTACACTCATAAAGAGATTGAGCGTATCGACCCAAAGCATGTGACCAAACAAAATGTAGCGAGATGTCTCCTGAAAAACAGTCTTTTTCCTCAAGGTGAAGATCATGACTCCATTGACATAAAGGAAAATAACACATGTGGTCACACACAAGAATGTTTTCACCGGTGCATCTCGATCTACCAGGAATGGACTCTGAGTGAGGTTAGATGTAGAACCATTAAAAGCAGACATATTCAGAAAAAATAAAACATGAAGATGTTAACCTCAGATGCTGGTATAGCACACTGACTAATACTGCAATCTACAATGTCCTTGGATTGCGTACAAATCCCCAGGCTTGTGTGCTGTTGATGGCACAGAGTGAGAAGGATCAGAGCGTGGCACTTTAAATATAGTTAAATTCATTATTATGTTATGTACGTGTTGAATCCCAGTGGTTGTTTCGTGTATGTGGGGGGTGGGGGAGGTCTGTGTGTGTTTACTTTGTTTACCTTGTAATCTGGCAAAACCTCCCTAGGAGGTTTGTTGGAAGCTATTATTATAGCTAATAAAGTTTTAAATATGGATATTTTTCTTACACAAACCCATCGCTTCGCTTCAGAATGCCTTTATTAAACCCCTGGAGATGTACAGTATGGATTACTTTTATGATGGATGGGTGCATTTTTTGGGGGCTTCAAAATCTCTATTACAAATCATTATAAAGTTTGGAAGAGGCAGGATATTTTTTAATATATCTCTAATTGTGTTCGTCTGAAAGAAGATATAGTCATACACCTAGGATGTCTTGAGGGTGAGTAAATCATGGGGTAATTTTCATTTGTGGGTCAACTATCCCTTTAAGCTCTGTAAATTACTGCTAATTAAACTTTTAAAGTCTGCATGTAATCAAAATGGACCAGATTTCCATTGTTAGTGCACATTAATAATCTTGTGGTTAACAATTAATCCGTACAAATTAATCCAGAATTTGTTTGTCTTTGTGACACCCTAAAGTACGTCCATTTTGTGATTCTGGCCGAAAACAATTATTTTCTTTTATTTGTTAAAGCTCCAGTCCGTAACTTTTTTGTGTTAAAAACTATCCAAAATAATTGTTTGAGCAAGTACATAACCAGTGTTTAAAAGTAACTGCTTGCCTTAGTCAACGCGTCCACCATTTTGCTGAGGGCAAGTGTGCGCTGTAAAAAAAAGGAAAGTAAAGTAAACGAGTGAGCTGCGGTTTTTCTGGATAATTTTTTTTTTTTTACATTTATCAATCGATTTCAGTGGTTTGTATGTAGTGTACAAAAAGTTCCATCTCTAGTTATTTAAAATCTCGAGAGTTTGATTTTGGTAACACTTTACAATACACTGTAAAAAATGTCTGTGAAATTAACTGTGTAATTCTGTAAAATCATGACATCAAAATTTTGTAAATAGAAAAACAATAACATTTTGTTAAATTTACAGTACTATTTTGAAATGAGTACAAATGCTGTTGTAAAATACTGAACCAAACAAAACTGTTGATTTTACAAGAATGTGTTAAAATAATCATATTAATTTGTAGAATTTACAGATTTATGCAATTTAAACAGAAGAAAAACTGAATACAGAAAGCAACAATGCAGTTAAAATTACAACATGACAGTGTTAAAATATTTTTCGGACATACAGGTTTTCAATAGCCTATAGGCCTATAGTCTACAGAAAGAAAATGTACATTTTATAAATTCATGTTATATTTTACAGATAAAATGTGTTCAAGTAGGCCTACGGCTTAAAATATGAATTTTAAAATTCATATTTAAAAACATGCAATGGTCTTTTAGGTCCAACAGCACTGTAAAAATTACTACCTATATGAACTGGTAGGAATGGCTATTGTATGCCTAATGAACAGTTAAGGGACATTAAGCCAAACCGTTCATTTATTATTTTGAACAATTAATTAATTCAATTGTAAATGATCAAATAAAATAATTTCTTTCTTTTTTTCATTTACAGAATAATGTCATTTAGTATATTTTGTCGATGTAAAATTTACATTCCCATACATGAACATCTGCGTTTGAATGTCGAGCAGTAGAATTCAGATTATCGCGGGATCAGCTGTTTTGATGAACTTCACGAGAGTGCGCACACCAATTCTTTCTGCCAGCGAGTGCGTCGCGTGGAGTTTTGCATGACATAAAATCTGGTAAGTGAACGGTTTGTTTTCTACAAACTTGAAAAAAATTACTTGTAGAATATGTTATGACTGAGGCTATTTTGCCGTGGATTGGGTTTCATGTTTAACGCACAACTCTCAGTTTATTTCATGCTGCGTAACTAGGATAAAAAAGAGCGATTTTGTTAGATTGCTTAAAAACGACTAACGTTTCCTGTCGTTTCTGCAGCAAAGCAGATTCTGATTAACCATGTGATTATTAACACGGGATCAGCCATTTTGACGAACTTGAGAGCGCCCGCCAATTCTGCCAGTGAGCTAACGTTAGTGGATTTTTGCATGACATGTAAAAATTACGAGCTCTTGCACTGGTAAGTGAACAAACAGTTTGTTTTCTTCAAAAACAGTAACGTTAACTTTAACTTAGCCTACAAGTATATGTTTTGACTGGAGTTATTTTTCCATCATAATAATGATGCTGAGTGCTGACGAACTGTTGGCTGTAAGTTAACGTTAGACTAGACTACGTGCTTCATGTTTAGCTCAACTCTTTTAGTTTGTTTCTTTCATGCTGAGTGACTTGAGTTAACTAGGATAAAAAAGAGAGATTTTGTTAGTTTGCTCAAAAAACGACTAACGTTAACTGTCGTTTTTTGCACCAAACAGATTTCTGATTATCACAGGATCAGTGCCCGGTTGCCATTTTGACGAACTTCATAAGTGAGAGCGCCCGCTATTTCTGCCAGCTAACGGAGTTGTGGCATGTAAAACTGCGATCTGAACAAACAGTTCGTTTTATTTAAAAAAAACAGTAACTGTACAAGTATATATTTGGCACAAAAACAGTATAAGTAACTTAAATGTTTTGACTAGAGCTATTTTGCCATCATGATGCTGACGAACTGTTGGTTAACGTTAGGCTGTGGGGTTTATGTTCAGCTCAACTCTTTCAGTTTTTTCTTTCATGCTGAGTAACTAAGATAAAAAGAGAGCGATTTTGTTAGTTTGCTTAAGGACGACTAACATTTACTGTCATTTCTGCAGCAAAGCAGATTTCTGGTGATCACATCAGCCATTTTGACGAACTTCAGTGAGAGCGCCCGCCATTTCTGCCAGTGAGCTGTAAAATTGCGATCTTTTGCACTGGTAAGTGAACAAACAGTTTGTTTTATTACAAAAACATTAACTGTACAAGTTTGTGACTGGGGTTATTTTTGAAAAATAATGATGCTGACGAATTGGAGGTTAATCAGGCTTTCAGTTTCTTTCATGCTGAGTAGACCTAAGTAACATTAGGATTTTTAAAAAATCGATTTTTATTAACGTTAGTTTATTAAAAAATGATTAACTGTCGTTTTTGCAGCAAAACACTAGAGACATTGAGGGGTTATGTGCTGCATTGTAGAGTTCATAGGAACGAGCCCCGTTGTCTCTTCAAATGTGCTGTTGCTGAATGCAAACGGACATTTTGTACTTATGCAGCTTTTAAAGCTCATTTTTACCGGGTTCACAATGAGTCTGAAACCTCTGTTACTGCTGGGGCATTTGTTGCAGATTTTAAATGTGCCATTTCACTGTGTGATCGACAATTTCACACAGTTAAAGAACTAATGTGCCACTTAAAAGAGCATATAGTTGAGGGGCGACCTGTGGCATGTCCAGTAACAGGTTGTAAAAAGACATTCACTGTGAAATCATCATTTACTGCTCATATGTCCAGGAAGCATAGAGCATGTTCTGTTGATAGCATTAGTGACATTTACAGGGACAATATTTCTCAGTCATCTACTGCCATTGCATGTGAAGATGCTTCCCAGGTCTTTAATGATGAAACGGATGACAACATTGAATTACCACAGAATTTCAATGAGTCCTTTCTTAGGAATGTATGTTTACTGTACTTAAAATTGCAAGGGCAGCTCCTCCTTCCAGCATCAACAATACAGACGATTGTTGAAGAGATGCAAAATGTACATGAGTTAGGACAAGATTACACTTTAAGAAAACTGCAGTCACTTTTAAAAAATGACATGCGTCTTACAGATGATGCTGTCAGTAAAGTCTGTGATTGTGTAAAGGATTCAGATTTGTTCTCCCTCTGTCATCAGGGTCCGCTGAGAACAACATATTCAAGAGCTCAGACATTTAAACAAATGTTCCATTACATAGAGCCTAAGAAAGTAACATTAGGAAATGATGAACATATGAGACAAAGGTTTGCATACTACATACCTGTAAAGCAAACATTAAGTAACTTACTGGAATCAGAATTCTGGAAGAATTCAGTGTCACAACGATCTTGTGAACCAGACTCGGATAATTTTAGTGACATAAGTGATGGTAAAAGCTTTAAGTCTAACCAGTTCTTTATTGAAAATCCTGAATGCCTGAAACTAATTCTCTACCAGGATGCTTTTGAAATTGTAAATCCCCTCGGCTCTGCTAAGAAAAAGCACAAAGTTGTTGCAGTTTATCTTTCTGTGGCTAATTTACCTGCACATATTCGGAACAATACTGATCACATGTCCCTTGTCTTATTGTGTGTAGAGAATGAATTAAAACAATTTGGATTTGCTAATGTTTTCTCAGAGATGTTAGTGGATTTAAAAGATTTGGAGGAAAATGGAATAACTGTAGGTGGTGAAACGGTCAAAGGATCTTTGTATTGTATTGCCGGTGATAATTTGGGTTCACACAGCATTGGTGGGTTTAACGAAAATTTCAGTCGTTCACAATATTTTTGCAGGTACTGTGAAGTCACGCGACATGAGTTTCAAAACGATGACCCAAATGTTTGTGGTCCACAGCGCACCCCTGCACGTTACAATTCTGTTGTTCGTGATCTACAAGCTCAAGACAACAAAGGCATAAAGGGAAACTCTGTTTTCAATACTTTGAAATCTTTTCATGTTTGCCAGCCTGGTCTCCCACCTTGTTTAGGCCATGACATATTTGAGGGTGTCTTGTCCTATGATGTTGCATTGTACTTGAAGTATTTCATCAAGAAGAAGCAATGGCTTACATATTCAATTTTGAACCGGCGCATCAAGCAGTTCAAGTACAAAGGAACTGATGCTCTTACAAAGCCATGTGCTGTCAA